ACAAAGTCCCAAAATATATGAAGCAAGCTTTGACAGAATTGAAGGGAGAAATAGACAGTTCTACAATAATTTAAGTTGGAGAATTGAATGCACTATTTTCTATAATGGGTAGACCATCAGTAAGGAAATGGGTAGACCATCAGTAAGGAAATAGAGGACTTGAACAACACTATAAAACTAGACCTAGCAGACATATATAGAATACTCCACCTAAGAACAGCAGAATACTTGTTTCTTCTCAAGTGCACATGGAACATTCTTCAGGATAGACAGACCTTATGTTAATGGTCTCAATAGATTTAAAAAGATTGAAATCATGCAAAGTATCTCCTCTGATCTATATGGAAATTAAACAGCATACTCTTAAACAACCAATGGATCAAAGAAAAAAAAAATCACAAGGGAAATTAGAAAATACTTAGAGACAAATGAAAACACATAACAAAACTTATGGTTGCAGTGAAGACAGTACTCAGAGAAAAATTTATAGCTGTAAACATTTACATTAGAAAGGTAGAAAGATCTCAAATCAATAACCTAATTTCACACTTTGAGGAATAGCAAATTAAACCCAAAGCTAGCAGAAGGAAGGAAGTAATAGAGATTAGACTGAAAACAAATAATATAGAGAATAGAAAAACAATAGAGAATCAATGAAATCAATGCAATAATAAAACCAAAGTTGGTTCTTTGAAAAGATCAATAAAACTGACAAACCTTTAGCTAGACTGACAAAAGAAAAAAAGCAGCAGCAAGTAAAATCAGAAATGAAAGTGAGAATACTACTTATCAACATTACAGAAATAAAAAGGATTGTAAGAGAATACTGTGAACAATTGTATGCTGATCAATCAGATAATCTAGATGAAGTGGACAAATTCCTAGAAACACACAAATTACCTAAACTGACTCAAGAAGAAACAGAAAATCTTAATGAGCCTATGAGAAGTAAAGAGATTGAATTAGTAACCAAAAACCTACCAACAAAGAAAAACCCAGGACCAGATGGTTTACTGGTGAATTTTACTGAACATTTAAAGAAGAATTAGCATGGTTTTTCAATTACCTTTTTCTTTCTTTAGTATTTGCTTGGTTGCTATAAACCTTTGACTGTTTTCCAGAGTTCTAACAAAGTTGGTTCTAACCATTTCTGCTTGCTTTTTTGGCATTTCTGTTGGAGGATGAGAGTTGGAGCTGCCTACTCCACCATCTTGCTGATTTAACTCCCATGTTGTCATTTTTGAGCAACGTAAATGTATTTTCTACTTAAAAATTTGTTAAAAATTAGTACATTACAGGAATATAAAACATACTCATTGACACTTTCAGTAACATAAGAATAATCCTATTAGAGTTTCAATAAATTTCCCCTGAAAAAAGAGAATTAGCCTTTTAAAATTAATATAACCTAAAATTTATAGTCATTCATAAAACATTGGTGGAAATTTCTTAAAAACTGAGAACAAAATAAAGAAATATGCTATCACTAATAATATTTAGCATATTATTAACTGGATTTTCTAAAGCAGTAAGATATGAAAAAGGTGTTAAGAGAAATAGAAAAGGAGGGAACCAGAGTATGATGTGTACTTATAAAATCTAAAAGGATCAACTGAAACAATATTATTTTAATAGTTTTAAAGTATGTAGGTAGGAAATAAACATATAACAATAGCATTATTAAATAAACACAAAATAATGAAAGACCTTATTTGGAGTGCCTATAAAATCAGAATAATCTAGAGATGTTTTATTGGTTAATGTGAAAGATTCTTAAACAATGGAGAAACATTTCTAAATGTGAGAATTAAAAGCATATAAAGATAGAAGAGCCCTCCAGATTTACTTATACTGTATCTGTTGTTGTTGTTAGGTGCCATTGAGTTGATTCTGACTCATAGCTACCCTGTGTACAACAGAATGAAACACTGCCCCATCTTGCACCATCCTCACAGTCGTTGCTATGTTTGAGCCCATTGTTACAGCTGCTGTGTCAATCCATCTCATTAAGGGTCTTCCTTTTTTTGATGATCCTGTACTTTACTAAGCATGATGTCCTTCTCCAGGGACTGATCCCTCCTGATAACATGTCCAGCATACGTAAGACAAAGTCTTCCCATCCTTGCTTCTAAGGAGCATTCTGGCTGTACTTCTTCTGAGACAGATTTGTTCATTCTTCTGGCAGTCTGTGGTATTCAGTGTTCTTTGCCATTGCCATAATTCAAAGGCATCAATTCTTCTTCAGTCTTCCTTATTCATTGTCCAGCTCTTGCATGCTCATGAGGCGATTGAAAATACCATGGCTTGAGTCAGGTGCACTTTAGTCCTCAAAGTGACATCTTTATTTTTTAACACTTTAAAGAGGTCTTTTGCAGCACATTTGCCCAATGCGATATGTTGATTTCTTGATTGCTGCTTCCACGGGCGTTGATTGTGGATCCAAGTAAAATGAAATCCTCAACAACTTTAGTCTTTTCTCTCTTTGTCATGATGTTGCTTATTGGTCCAGCTGTGAGGATTTTTGTTTTCATTATGTTGAGGTGTAATCCATACTGAAGGCTGTAGTCTTTGATCTTCATTAGTAAGTGCTTCAAGCCTTGCTGAAAGTAAAGAGGACTGTATATTTAGTCAGTCAAAATTTTAAATAGCTGGAAATAGGTATTCTGGCTAGTCTTACCAGTATCACAAGATATTGTAAAACAGTGTGGTACTAATGAGAAATAGCTAAGATACAGATCACACATAAATAGAGATAATGTGAACATTTCAAAACAAGAGGAAAAGGAAGCTTTATAAATGTGACTGGGATAATTGTATCATAATTTAGAAGAAAATTAATTTCAGTCCATACTGTATACTAAATTAAACTCCCAATGTGTTAAAGTTAAGTATAAAAAATAAGTCATAAAAGAACAGCCGGAGAACAGAGTAGAACTTTATGAGAACTTGAACTGATTTTTTTTCTGATTTTACATCATAGAGTTATTACAGAGGAAGTCATCAGTTAAAAAACATTTATATCAATAACGATTGACAGAGAGATTGAGATATGTAATATATAAAATGTATTAGAGTCTCAACCCAATAGGTAAATTATTTCTTTGTGTAATCAAAATACAGAGTATAACTATAATGAGACACCATTTTACACCTATTAAATGTTTTTAACTTATGGTAAAGTTGATACTCATATATTGGTGGTTATATTGAGATTGGTACAGCTTCTTTGGAAAGCAGTACGGCAGTTCATATCAAGAGCTCTGATAAAAATTTGTCATATGCTTTGACTAAGTGTTTTTATTATCCTAGGGGATTAATTAAAAAGAAGAAAACTTGGTGTGAAATGGCTAAATTCAGCGGAGATTCACATTCCAGCTTCAGGATTAGCCGCATATGTAAATAGTTGATTTAACCCTTTACTCTCAGGGAGTCCCTAGGTAGTGCAAACTGTTAATGCAGTCAGCTGCTAACCTGATGATTTACTTCCAAAAAATCATCCGTTGAAAACCCTATGGAGCACAGTTCTACTCTGACATAGGGTTTCCATGAGTCTGAATCGAGTCCGTGGCAACTGGTTGTTTTGTTTTTACTTTCAGTGAGTTGCTGAGAGTTTAGGAGTTCCTTTTCAACTCACAAGGAGCCCTGGTGGTGCAGTGGTGAAGTGCTCAGCAGCTAACCGAAAAGTTGGCAGGTCGAACCCACCGGCTTCTCTGTGGGAGAAAGATGTGGCAGCCAGCTTCTGTAAAGATTTACAGCATTGGAAAGCCTACGGGGCGGTTCTACTCTGTCCTGTAGAGTCGCTGTGAGTTGGAATCGACTTGGCGGCAGTGGTTTTGGGTTGTCAGCCTATGTGTTGACAGCATACTTTTTTTTTGCTTTGTTACCTAGTCTTTATGATGTTCTTTTACACATAGACTTTTTATTGAACTATGATATAAATACAGAAAGTTTACAGATCATGAGTATACAAGCTCAGATTTTCACAAAATGTACACACTCAATCCAACTGCCAACCAAAATTGGTTATTACCAGTACCCCAGAAATCCTTCTTGTGTCCCATTTCCAGTCACAATTCCGCTTCATCCCCAAAGATAACCAACCACTGTTCTGACTTACAATACCATAGTTTTATCAGTTGTAGTAATCTCTTTAATGGCCAAATAATAATCCATTATGTAAATATGCCATATTTTCTTTGTTTTTTATTATTTAAATTGTTGTAAGTTTTGTACTATATATAATATTGTAGTTTTTTCTAATGCTATAATATGGTAATAGTTTCTAATATAGTAAAAATCTGGAAGCAGTTCATCTTACCATTCATTTATTAGACTCCTAAAGTTTATTAATGCTGCCATTTATATTTATGTCTTTGTCCCCTAGTCCTTAGTGTGGTCAGTATGAACTTGTGGAAAAAATAATTGGTGCCTGTTCAGAACACATAAGTGCTCAGCTATTAACTGAAGGGTTGGCTGTTTGAATCCACTCAGAGGTGCCTTGAAAGAAAGTCCCGGCGATCTACTTCTGAAAGATCACAGCTATTGAAAACCCTATGGAGCACAGTTCTGCTCTGAAGTATGGGGTCGCCATGAGTCGGGGTTAACTTTATGGCAACTGGTTTGATTGGATTTAGAATACTTGTCCAGATGTTTGTTACTGTCTTTGGCATTCTGATATGCAGACCCTCATCAGGTATCTACCCAAAGGCAAGGCCAACATATGAAGTCTTTCAATGCAGTCCCACTCATTTTATTTTAAAAAAGAAAGATTAAAAATGGACTATGTGCTTACACTGAGGGGAATGGAAAGATTTATCAGCCATGTAGCTGATAAATGAATGAATAAAGAGTGGAAAAGGAGTGTTGGTGGCAGTTATCTACCAGTCCTCAGATTTCTGACTTTCAAGATTATTGTTTCACAAGAAATATGACTTGTTTTCTTCTTGCTTGGTATTGTCATATCCCTCAAAACTTAATAAATTCCCTCTTTGTTTCAACAGTCAATGATGGCAATCATGAGGGTGACACTCATCAAAAGGAACCTGCAGAGAATGAAGATTATAGAGAAAAGTCTTCAGGGTGTGGTGAAATGGATTGTTCCTTGGTCTCTGAACAATCTCCAGATTACCACAAAGAAGAAAGGCTAAATACATTCATTCCACATGAAAGGAAATTGAGGAATCTTTTAGTTACCATTGAAAATGATACTCCACTAGAGGAACTCTCAAAATATGTGGACATCAATGTTATTGCACTTACCCGAAATCGGAGAACAAGGAGATGGTACACTTGTCCACTATGTGGGAAACAGTTTAATGAAAGTTCTTATCTTATTTCCCACCAGAGGACTCATACTGGAGAAAAACCCTATGACTGTAGTCACTGTGGGAAAAGCTTCAACCATAAAACAAACCTTAATAAGCATGAACGAATCCATACAGGAGAGAAACCTTACTCATGTTCCCAGTGTGGGAAAAACTTTCGTCAGAATTCTCATCGGAGCCGCCATGAAGGAATCCACATAAGGGAGAAGATATTTAAGTGTCCAGAATGTGGGAAAACCTTCTCAGGGAATGAAGAATTTGTGCTTCATCTGCAGAGTCATGAGGCTGAGAGGCCATATAGTTGCAAAAAATGTGGGAGAAGATTTGGTCGGCTGTCAAACTGTACCCGGCATGAGAAAACCCATTCAGTATGTAAGACCAGAAAGCAGAAGTGGGATTGGGAAAGGTCTAATAGTCCTGCCTCTACCTAAAATGTTTCACTTAGGCATTCTGAATTTCCAGGCTGTCTGAAAAGATACAGGTATGTGAAGACCTCATCATAGCCAAAATTGGATAATACCCGTCTTGGCTGAAACCTCAGATTATTAGAAAATTCACAGGGAAGAAAATATACTCAAGGGCTATACCTCAATTAGCATCCAGGCTTTTTGGACTAGGGAGCTTTCTTTTGTGAAGTTGTACAACAATATACAGATCAGTTCCCCAAAAAAGACTTTGAACCTGAGTCTGGAGGCTGCTTAGCTGCAAGGTAAACAGAATGACTCATCCCTACTGAAAATATGTCCATGAGGATCTACACTTGAGAAAAGTGGAAATAATGTAAAGGTCTCTATCTGGCATCATATTCCCCTGAAAGGACCAAACTACTGATTTTTTAAGCCAAAAACAGTTCATATAACCCTCTTAAGAACAACCTATTAAAGCTTTCATGTTGCAAGGGATTGTTTACTTTGGATTATAGAAAAACTACAGCAACTGAATGTCAAAGACTTCACCATTTTTCATTGAAACTAACAGTCACTTTTAATAACATTTGCAATTTCTGATGAAAACTGACTTTTACAGAATCCTTTGAAGATCATAATTTTAAAGTGTCTCCTGTTCTTACTGTGTTTTGTTCGGCTATTGATCTCCCAAACAGCTGTCTCTCAACCCTGAGCAATTCCTCCCATGCAGAAAGAAGTTCGATCACTCAGGAAGAGCTCTTCAGAATCTTGTCCCTTTACTGAGCCATGATCTTACCTGCTAAGAAGGAAATTCCAAGACCATGAAGAGGAAGGACAGACCTGGAGACAAGAAGAAGTTACTTGGATCCTTGGCTGTGAATAGCCTCAACATATGCTTAATCCCTCTCTACATAGCCACCAGGCCTTTGGCAGTGGGCTGGTCACTACCTCACAAGGCAATGTGTTTTATTTGTAGAAATTACATCTATAGTGATTAGCTCACATTGCCCCTCATGAGACAAGATTCCGTGTGTCTTCAGTGTAGTGGATATTCGTTATTGTCTCGGTGTCCCTATATCCAGGCCCTCCTGAGGTATCTGCGCAGAGGCAAGGCCAGCGCTGTCTTCATGGGACTGACTCGGCGTTGTGGTTTGAGGCATTCTTGATCAGTTTTGCTTGTTTGTTTCAGGTTTCCCAAAGTTTTACATTGGGATTTGATTGGAATTGGGTTAATCTTATAAACCATTTGGGAAAGGTTTTTAACTTTACAAATTCTTTTCCCCATCCAGAAACATGCCTTTCCGTTTACTAGAGTCTCATAGTCCTGAGTAAATTTTTCTCACTTTCTTCATGTAAGTACTATACAATTGTGTTATTGTAAATAGTTTTTATCCTTTATATTTTTCTAGTTGGTCATTGTTCTTACACAACAAATTTATTTTTAATTATATATTTGTGTAACCAGCCACCTCACTAAATGTTATTAATTTTCAATAATTTCTTGACTTAGTTCTCTGTTACAAGTAGTATAAAATTATATCATCTACAAATAATAGTTTTGTTTTTTCCTTTCTGTCTGTTGGTTTCTGTTCATTTATTTGTTGTTGTTTCAATATATTGTTGTAAATTTAGTTGTTGTTTTGGTACAAAGCATATTAAAAGAAGAAAGTTTAGTAGTACAATTAACTGATTCCTAACTTAAAAAAAAAAAAGCCGTTAAAAGCCTTAGAAAAAACTGCCCTTTAATGACTTTGTATTTCAAGTCAGTAGCACCCTGTAAAACCAGGAACAAAACAGGCCACCAGCAACATTATTCTCCTTTAAGGGAAGTCTGGCCAGTGTACTAGGAACTGGGACAGAGATCTGAGTCATCTGTGTTAGGAGTGGCCAACCAAACGGTTCTGACAACCTGCAGATCGCCCGTCTGTATCAAGTCCCTGGGGTGAGATTGCCATGTCCCCTACCCAAGGGTTGGGCATGCAGCAGTGGCCCAGACTCCCCAAGGCACCTTTTAAAAGGAGAGTGTGGTGGTAGGTGACGCTACCATGGCCAAAGTCCCCTTCCCACACTGTAGAGTGGCTTGGCAGTTGGCCAAGTGTCCTTTGTCCCCGGGGCTGTGGTTGTGTGCAGGAGGGTGGGAGGCTGTGAGGTTAAGGTCGCTGGCCCTGGCCTGATACCTACTGTCCCCAAGGATGGAGTGAAGCTGGGCCTGCCTGATTTCTGCACACCTGACTTCCGCACACCTGACACAGACCGGGAGCCCAGGTGGCGCAGTGGTTAAGAGCTCAGCTGCTAAGCAAAAGGTCAGCAGTTCAAATCCACCAGTTGCTCCTTGGAAACCCTATGGGGCAGTTCTACTCTGTCCTATAGGGTTGCTGTGAGTCAGAATCAACTCGTTGGCAGCAGGTTTGCTTTTTTTGACCCAGAGAAGTTGCTCAGACCCCGAGGACGATCCACCGAGTAGAGGAGTCAGGCAGGAGAGATGGAGGGACACATGCTTGAAGCCCCTGCCCGGGAGCATCCCTGGGAGTGCATGATCAGGGAAGATGACCTGGGATGAGGGGCTACCCTCCAATGAGAATGCCTGGGAAGCTGTTAGATGAGTAACTACACAGTAAGCCCAATAACCAGTACAATGGAAAACAAAAAGATTAATAGTTTTCCAATATAGCATCAAGAGCCAGTTAGAAAATATGAAGAACAAAAGCTCTGATTCCAATAAAATCAAACAAAAAAACCATTGCCATGGAGTCGATTCCGACTCCTAGAGGCCCTATGGCAACTATAAATCGGAAGTATTCATTCAATAAAGAGATAGCACAATGCACTAGGTTTGAAGGTAAGTAACACAGCCTATCCTCTGATGAGTTTTTCTTGGGGCAGGGAAGAGGAGGAGGACAGAAACTCAGTAAATCTTATAAATATGTATGTAGCTCCAAACGGTGACAAGTGCTAGGAAGGCAAAAGATTCTAGGAGAATGTTGTGGGAGGGTATTCTGGAGAGACCTCTGGAGAAGTCACATTTGAACTGAGGGCAGAAGGATGGGACGGGGGAAACAGGATGTGCTAAGGCCTTGGGGTGGGAAAGTGTGGGGTTTGAGAACAGGAGTAACCTATGCTACAAGACCTTTATAAAGGAAACCACACGAGAAATTTGACACTATGAAAGTTGTGACATTATAAAATGTTACTGGATTGGCAGGAACGTTTAAATTCTTCTCGACTGATAAACTTAGTGCTATTCCAAACAAAAGCCCAATGGGATTTTTGGGAGAAACTTGATGGATTCTAAATGGCACTTAGAAGGATAAACATGATTAAAAAGCGATAGAAAAATCAAGAGTAATAAGAGAAAGCTTGCCTTAACAATAGAATGTTCTTTTAAAAATGTCTACATCATGTTTAAAAGCTGCAATAATTAATGCAGTTTGATACTGTATGTTTTAATAAGAATGGTCCAGAAATAGATCCCAGTACATGTAAGAATTTAATATATGATGAAGGTAGCATCACAAATAATAGGGGAAGTGAAGAACTGTTTAACAAATATTGCTGAAATGATTAACATAAGGGTGTGGAATTTAGATTATCACCCCCCATCTCATGCTAAAATGAATTCTAGAAAATGAATTAAATGTACAAAAAAACCCAAACCACCACCACCAGCACAGAACCCCACCATAGAACAGCTAAAGATAAGGTCCATTTTAGCTAGCCTCTGGGTGGAATAAATGCTTTCTTATTCTTCTGAAAGAATAATGACAAAGATCATAAAGGAAAAAGATGGATTTGGTTACATAAAAATTTTAAATTCTTGTGAAGAAATAGCACAAATGATACAATGTAAAATAATTCAACATAAAATGTTTTTTAAAAATGAAAAGACAAATGATAATTGGGAAACTTGCACAAATCAATAATGACAATATTTTGAATACAAGGAATTTTATAACCAATATTAGCTATCCAATACCAAGAAGAAATGAACAATTTTTATAAAAAGAAACATGAATGGCTAAGAGAAACATGAGTATTCAGCCTTACTAGTAATTTCAGAATTACAAATCAAAAGAACAAGGAGATGTCATTTAGGCATATTAAATGAGCAGAGTTTTTTTTTTTTTTTTTAATGGAAATATCCAGTTTGGCCAAAGAAAGATGACAGTGGCACTCTTCTATAATGGGACAAGATTGTTTAAAAAAAATTATTACCCTTGATGCAGCAATTTATCTTCTATGTATAAGGGGAAAATATCCAAACATAATACTGAAAAATTAGAGACAACCCAAATGGTTGAATAAATATATTCATTACAAAGTTAATACAAGCAGTGCTTTTCATTAACCTTTGTTGGCTGGGTGGGTCTCTTCCTCTCTTTCCATTCTCTTGAATCCAGTCCAATCCCATCTTCAACTCAGTCACTCCACTGAGACTGCTTTCATCATGGTACCAATGATCTCCAATTTCCCAAGTCCAACATCCAAATATCAGTTGGTCTTATGCCATTTCTGTGTGGCATTTGACATTGTTGATCACTCCCTTCCTGAAACCCTTTCTCCACTCGGCTTCCCAGACACCAGTCTCTCCTGGCTTTTTGCCTACTTCGTTGGCTGCTCCTTCTTGGTCTTTTTGTTGAATTGTTCTCCTTTTCCTGACCCTCTAAATCAGTGATTCTCGGCCTTGGCTGCACACTAGAATCACCTGGAGGGTTTTTAAAAATCCTGATGCCCAGAGCACACCCTAGACCAATTAAATCAGAATCTTTGGATGTAGGACGCAGGCACCATGAAATTTTAAGGCTCCCAGGTGATTCCAATGGTCAGCCAAGATAAGAACCACTGTTGTAAATGTTGATGTGCCCCAGCGCTCAGTCCTTAGCCCTCTTCCTAACTCCTCTGTGAACATTAACTCTCTGTATCACCTAGGTAGCCTCCAAATTTACTAGTGCCTGTGGCCCATCCCCAGAGATTGACTCCATTGGTCTGGTATGGAGAACTGCTCTAAGTGATCTCATCCAATTTCTTGGGCATAGTTGTGAGTTGCTGCCAAGTTGATTCTGACTCATAGCAAACTCAAGTGTTACAGAGTAGAACTACTCCGTAGGATTTTCTTGGCCGTAATCTTAATAGAAGAACATCGCCAGGCTTTTTCTTCTGCGATATAACTGGGTGGGTTCAAAACGCCAACATTTAGCCAGTTAGAAGATATGAAGAACAAGTTGAGCATAAACAAGTTTGTGCCACCAAATACTATTTTTGTACTGATGTTCCCCAACTGTATATCCAACTCCAACCTCCCCACTGAGGTCTAAACCCATGTGTAAAACTCCTTCTTAATAGTTCTACTTTGCCAAGTAATCAAGTATGCCTTCAGAAATGTATTTACGAAGCTGCTTATTGACATATTATTTATAAAAGTAAAAAAAGAGTAAATGAACAAAATATGATTGAATTTGATTGGCACAGTGCTTAAGAGGTTAGCTGCTAACCAAAAGGTTGGCAGTTCGATTCCACCAGCTGCTCCTTGGAGACCTATGGGACAGTTCTACTCTGTCCTGTAGGGTCACTGTGAGTCGGAATTGACTCAATGGCAACGGGGTTTTTTTTTTTTAATTTAAATTATATTTCTAAGAATGTTTTATGATTTTGTGTTTCATGAATTAATGTTAAATGAAAAAACAGGATACAAAACTTAGGTTTTCAGAGGAAAGGAGACCAAGGATACTCAGATAAAATAAATCTTTGTAATTAATGGAATTGATTAGTGAATCCAAGAACTGATTCATAGGGAATGAGTAGTATAAACAACCACCAAATGCTGTCAAGAAAAAAGTGAATAAAGTTAAAAACAAAAAGAATAATCATAATATAAAAAGTATTTTAAGGTTTATATTGAAATACTAGGCATAATTACATATTAATACATTTGAAAACTCAGTGAAATATATAATTATCATTAAAAATGTAAAGGAAATAAAAACTGACATATATGAAATAAGTAATACAGTTTACTAATTGAGTAGGACATTTAAAACATCACACCTTTTCTAGCCCATACCCCTATCCACATGCTCACATACAAACCAAGGGCTGGAGGTTTCTTTCAAACTTTCAAAGAAGAGGCACTTTCTATCATATAAGAATTCTTCGATATATAAACTAAATATTGGAAACAATCTCATGTATTGTTTGAGGCAAACATATCTTAATATACAAATCTGATAAATATAAAAAAGGCAATGACATGCTAAACTCAGAAACATCCTCTGATTCTGAATTTAGCCAGTTTTCACACAAGATGTCATCTTACCCATCTCTTTGAAATTAAGGGAAACTGTCCTGCTTTCCTCTTTCTTCCTCAAAATCCAGAGCATCCTGATCAGTTTCAAATATTTCTCAATTTTTGATTTCCTGTAATCATTTTCAAAATAAATTTCAAATCAGACTTTAAATTGTAAATTTCCGTTATGCTTTAACTCAGGAACAAAATTTCTAGTGAGTGAATTTTGCTAAAGGAACTTCATGGAACTGTATAAGGGCAGTAAAATAAAATTGTGCAGACTATGTACAAATTTGGAAAGGGTTTTAAAGTGGAAACCCGGGATATAAATTAGTATCTCTGTACAAATACCTGAGCACATTGACAGAGTACATAAAAAGCTGAAGTTGTCATGTCTGGGCATTGTGATTGAGGAAGATGGGTTTACCCATA